GGATATGGTAGCGTTTCCATCATCCAAGTATTTTGATACTAAAAGCAAAGGTTGTTTGTGATCACATTCACCTACAATTTAAACTCCAAGCTCTTTACTATTTATAATATTTAGTACATGACAAATTTTCAGGTTTTACATATTATGTTAAAACGTAAACTAAAGAAACGTTATCTAATTTAAGCGCACCAATGTCTTTGCGACGTTTACACTCATTTATGTATGTAGCTACGTCCATCATTGTTCTCACAGCATTAAGTAATTCAGGTTTGTCCTTATGAGAATCTTCTGTACACTGAAAAAAAATTAACCCATGTAATTAACAATACTCAAACTGCTGTAAACATATTCAGCGTGGGAATAGAAGTGGACACAGAGTTACAACCTAACACAGCCAATTTTACCATTCATTTCCACTTAACTACCAACCCCACCAATATAATCATAAAGACAGGAGATCACTCTCACAAAATTAAGAACACATGCTATTGTAACAAGACACGTACTTCTAAAATCAAATATTTTTAACAAACAGAATCTTTATTCTTACCTTTATTAATTCATTTAGAATGAGTGGATACTTAAGTATTCTCTGAACTGGTTTAATAAGAATAGAACCCATATCAAAACAAGCTACTTGTAAGCGCAGAGTTTCAAGTCCCTTGTTAAACAAAGTCTGTATTTCTTCAACTGACTCATACTGCAAAGAAAAAATGTGAAATATTAAACAAACAAAAAATTCTATCAATAAAAAATATCTTTCAACTAATAAAGTCTGATTTGTGTTTCTCCACGCAATGTGCCCATTAATCAGGGAAGTCAGCATTTCCAGAATACAAGTCAGATGATTCAGTAGTGAGCTAATTTTATCAGTGACAATCATAAACAGTTATTTAATCATCTTAAGCAAATATCAGTACTCACCTTTTCAAGTAACACAAGAGCATTGTCATGATTCATACAGTACTGACCATAGACAAGCTTCATTTGTTCAGCCAATTGAATAAAACAGGGTCCCACGCACTGTTCGTCTTCAGACTTTCCCTTCATAGCGAACTGCAACTTATCTAATACATCCTCCGCAACATGCAGTACCTGTACGACACGGTGCAATGAGTAACAGAGAAACATGTCAAAAGAGGAATAAAGAACAAAAAAATACATAAGGAACAACAACAAACAATTTTAGGAAACCGCTTACTTGCCTCCAAGATGTTGCCAAACACAACCTTCACATCAATACCTCTCGCTTCGAGTGGCCTTGGGTTATGCAAGTTAAATATTTCGTACGTTATCTTCAGGTCCCTTACATACTCCTTCTCGGTCAGCACGAGTTCCGTTATAACATTCTGTCTCTGCTCTGCGTTCTTCCTCCTGAACAAAACCACAAAATCATAATTGTCTACCAACGAAAGGCAGTCAGTAGAATTGTACAGTGTCCGAGGGCCATAGGAATGGCAGAGAAAATGTAAGGCATCACAAAACAACTACACTTTCACGCATCACTCAAATACGGCATACCTTTGCTCTTCAAAAACATCAGAGTTATTTTCAGCTACTGCACGATCTCCTGCCGGGGCTCCTTCTTCTTTGGCAACCGCACGTTCTGAAACAAAGTTACATCGCTGGTATGCAAGCACATAAAAGTAAGAGAAACTGATCTGTATTCCAGAAAATGTATCTGCGTAAGATAAAATCTCATTTCAAAAGTTATTATTACGTGCCCTGAAGGGTCAACAGAATGACAAAATGTAATTACCGTGGTGAGTGCGACTGCTATTTACCTTCAAGCTACAATATGACTTCCAACATTCAACTTAAAACTTCCCTTTTAGCTTGAACGAAACTTAGCATTGTGACTCGGTATTCAGATATCTATACAAAACAAAGTACTTTGAAAACGTAAGACTTGAGGTTCTCACAGCGGTGAGTATGAAGATTTCCGTCTTCTGGGTTGTTGCGCTGTGTAGTCTGGTCGATGTTAACCAACGTTTCAGAGGTCATACTGCCTCCGTCATCAGAGTATGAAGATTTATGTCTTCTGGGTTGTTGCGCTGTGTAGTCTGGTCTGGCGTCGCCCTGATGACGGAGGCAGTATGACCTCTGAAACGTTGGTTAACATCGACCAGACTACACAGCGCAACAACCCAGAAGATGGAAATCTACTTTGAAAACCTTTGTGAAACTAATATTCAGTAAACTGTTCAAGAAATGTTTCGCCTTTTATGTAATCTGATGGTTCATTACCGTATTCACAACAGCCCACCCTATATCAGACTCCAGAAGTGCATATGTACACAACACATGACCTGATGCATACCACACAGCGCATGTTAAAACATGACGGTGTCTGCTATTTGCCTGACAAACACTGTCACCATTCAAACTCTTGTGATTAGAAGAACTGTACAAAATAATAGTTGTGTATGTTTCTTATAGATGGCAAAATATGATAGTCTATAAGCTTGCCCAGAATCCCTAGCATGTTGCAAGTGTTAAGACCCTTTAAGACTTCCTTAAATAGCAACCTGCCTTCTTTTCTAATTACACTTATACGGCAGCAAGGATTAAGTTCGGCTGTTTGGACAGTATGGCCAACATCTTGGAGAAAATGTTAGGTGACAACAGGTTGTGGCTCAATTTCTGTCAAATCATGTTGGTACCTTGTAAAGCCGCACTTTGGTTTGGAAAACGACGAGTGCTGCGATGAACTGGTTTCTGTCCCGGTACAGGCACAGGAGGTGCTGGTCGATGCGGTAATCTGTCGGAACTTTGTCTGCTCAACTCCTGCCTATGAAAATGTGAGCGACTTATGTGTGATGAGTT